TCTCTCTCTCTCTCTCTCTCTCCCTTTCTCTCTCTCACTCACTCACTCTCATCTCCTTTTTGTTAATAAGTAATTAATTGTCGTAAAAAAGTTTTAAATAAATTTTAATATGAATTTCCTTTTCCTTTCTTTTGTTATCTGAAAAATGAATGAAAAGACAATCCTATGAATTGAATGAACAGAATTCTGACACTAATTATAATTTATATTTTTGTAAATGAAAGAAACAATAATTGTATTTCTCTGTCTATTATTATCAGAGGAGACAAAAGCGAAGTATTGACCGAAGACTTGATCAATGCTGAGAAAAGAGTGGAAGTAATTAGACAGACGTGTTATAACACGGAGAAGAAGATAACGGCATGTCTGCAGACGTCCGGTGCGGTCATCGGCGGTGTGGACGGCGTCGACGAGAAGCGCCTTAAAAAGTTGCCTCAAATGCAACTCTACCAGTGCTTTACCGAATTGGCCGAACAGTTGGGCACTGACTCTGTCCTCGGGTAAGACTTACGGCATATACTCTATGCTTCCGTTGTTCTCTCTCTCTCTCTCTCTCTCTCTCTCTCGACTACAAAAGTAAACCATTGATAATTGTAAGAAAACCTTATTTTAAAACTTCAAATGCGTTAAACTTATCAATAAATTAATTGCAATACAAAACTATGCAATTATGATGAGTGAAGATCTCCTTGGATTTGATATATGGAAATGAATTGTTGTTGTCTTTAATGTTATTTTATATTTGTTATGCAAATAATCAATGAATGAATCCTAGTTTGGGATCCGTTGAGAATTGCCTAAGAGTTGTTCAAAAGAGTTAAAGTTATTTTCCAGTGTTTTAGTCATTGTTTTCCCCATAAGAATGTAAGAATGTTTTGCTAAATAAAAAACTAATGCATTCTTCACACAAACTCATAGCTATAGGAATACATTGACTGAATTTATAATGAATTGTTATTTGCAATACATTTACGCAAAAAGCGTATAAACCGGTAGTCATTAACTTAAGGGATAAGTTCTGGGATTTATTCACTAAATATTTGCAGCAAATAATGAATCAAGAAATACGTGATGACTAATTCATGTACAGACAGCCCTTCCCTACCTTTCCTCACAACACCTGTACATATCATACCATAGATATATTCAGTCAATCATAAGTAAAGCTTCCATTTTCCGGGAGTAAAAACATCCAAATTCGGGAATTAAAAGGCCAAAATCGGGAAAATTCGGGAAATACGATTTTACTCAATTATAACACAATCATTATACATATAAATCATTTAGAAATGAATTATATTTGATAATGACATGAAATTTGAGCTTTTTCAGTCTTCTATCTCTAAGAATAATCTTAAACTGAGAGAAAAAACGCTAGACTTCAANTTTACTCAATTATAACACAATCATTATACATATAAATCATTTAGAAATGAATTATATTTGATAATGACATGAAATTTGAGCTTTTTCAGTCTTCTATCTCTAAGAATAATCTTAAACTGAGAGAAAAAACGCTAGACTTCAACGGAAATAATCAATAAATATTTTGTAAGACATTTCGTGGATTACAAAACATGTTTTGATTTTAGTTATATTCAGTTTAGAATTTTATTATAAGTTTTTGGTGAAATATTATAGTTATTAAATAACTAATTTTCGTCAAAAAATATCTAAATTCGGGAATATTTGTTATAAAAATAGACTTTTCGGGAATTTTCTCAAAAATATGCTAAAATCGGGAATTTTCCCAAAATAAGCCAAAATCGGGAAATCCCGAATAAAATAGTTAACAAAATCATCGGGAATTTCATACCATTAGGTTTAGGGGTTATAAGAAAAATCGGGAAAATAAAACTTATATATTTTTGGTCTATTATAACCCCTAAACCTAATGGTATGAAATTCCCGATGATTTTGTTAACTATTTTATTCGGGAATTCCCGAAAATTGGAAGCCTTAATCATAAGTGTGTTATATTTCCACATAAAACAGTGTCTTATCTTATTTTTTAGACGCCTATCAAAAGACAAAGTTTTTGAAAATGTATTTTCTATAAGACTATTAAAATATATGATATTAAGTGCATTATATACTTGTAATCGCAAACTAACGCATACTTTGTACCAAACTTTTACTGTATATTTGCGTTTAAATGTGAGAATCATTGAAATGACTGTAAGATTAATGGCTATTATATTAAAATTAATGAATTAATTATAGAGAATATACTTTAAATGTCACAAATAATCAATTTTTGTATTGCATATCAAAAATGAAAGATTTTATTTATATTTTATGCTAAACTTATAGAAAACAATTGTAATCTCGAGATAACAGTTTGTAAAATAACTTAATTTAATTTAAAAATATTTATATAACTTTATAGAAATGTTGTAAACATAAGTTAGATCAAGCTCAATTAGAACTAACGTTATCAATTAAGTTGGAGTTTACATTTATCAATTATCCTAATATAGGAGTATAATCTAGTCTATACTGTATACGTCTAAACATACTGTATATTATGTGTAATTTAGAGTTAACACTGGATTAATTCATAACCGGATTTACAAAATTAAACCTAAACTAAAGTAAGTAATGAATCAAATAATGGGAAAACTTTAGCAAAAAAAACTAAATGGAGAAATGGGTATAAAATGCTTTCGTAATGCCATCTATGAGTGAGATGTGTGTCAATACAATCGTTGCGTTTCACACAAAACACAACAAATGAATGCAGTTTTGAATGAATGCAAAACAACACAACAATTAACATAACATAACAACCATTGGGTTTACCATTCATTTCAATTCAATTACACTTATATTACTGTTAATCAAATCCCTTACTATTGAATCGCTTTTCAAACGCAAACTATACTTACAATTGATTAACAATTTGTGTGTTTATTATTACATAACACTTGTGTCGACCAAATCACTGCCATTTGTGTGCAAATATTTATTGACTGATTTGTGGCCTAAAAAACATGATTTGATTTTTTTGGTTCATTTGAATCGTGTTTTGAATCGCCGTTTGATTTGAATTTACAACTCATTTACAGTTTGTCTTTATTTTTGCCATTCATTTCTGCCATCACTGCTGAAGTACTCATTATCTGATCGCACCATGACTTTAACCACGTCCTCGAGGTCTGTATTGTCATATCATGTGATGAGTCATTGATATTAATGTTGCTTTGATTTGATTGGACGGCCAGAAAGCGCGACCGGACGGCCGCTCCCGAAGACACGGATTATATACCCGTCACTAAACGGATGAACAGTCTTCACATCGATGTCATGTCCGACGGGTACGACTGGTTCTGCTAGAGAGCAGACACTGACCTTCGCGTCCATTTGATTGGATCCAATCCATGAACGCAAACCTAATGTGTCTTTATTTTTGTCTCATTTCTCCGGGTCTTCAGCGCAAACAATTTGAACGACGCTCTCATTGGCCAACAGATCAACGGTTTGGAAATGGAGTCAAATCATCACCAGATGGATCCGTTCGCACACCAACTGCGACAACATCACCAGCAATGTGTTGAGCACACAATGGCGCACATGAATGGTCACCACAATCACCACAACCACAGTGTAGTCATCGACAATAGCCATCATCACAGCCAATGTCTAGCCGTGTATTCGCCTGAACTGGACTCCAACTCTAACCCAATCTATTACGAGTCCAACCGAATCCTATTCGAGGCACACATCCAAAGACTGCACCGCATGTCCATCGGCTGCACCGGTGGCGGCGGCCATCACCGCAAGTCCTGAACCACAACTCTTAGGCATAAATATATAGTCATTATTATTATTACAACAAATTATTATTAACCAATTGTTTAACGCTTTTAATATTTATTATAATTTCAATAATAATAATAATAATTATTATTTCAATATATATTTAATTGTATAAAGAAATTGAGTTAAACATTATTTCCGAAAACAAATATCTCTCTAAATATAAAACTTTGAAAAATGGTCTTAAAATGAATTATTAAAAAAATTGACAGAAAATTTGTGAACTAAAAAATGAGTGCTTTTAATACACAGTAAGACTTATACTATAAGCGAAAAAATGAGAAAAACGTTATTTTTATTTAAATAAATACTTATAAAACAACTAAATTAAGCGTCCATTCAATCAAAAACCAGTAGATATACTATATTTGATGCCATCGATCGACGAGTTAACTAACATTTTGGTTATTCCTCTGCTTTCGTGTCCGATAACAGGCGTGACATAAGACCTGATGGCGAGTCATTGTATCGCCGTTTGGCGACAGTATTTTGATCACTTCGTGCTGCCAATGGGCGCCCTTCTGGTTGACGGGCGCCGGGATTTTGGCCCCGCATTGACCACAATTGGCGCACAACAGACACACCCATCGGCCGTGAGGTATGGACTTCAGACCAACGCAGAACGTATGATAGCCGCGATCGCACTTATCGCAGAACATCATACGGTCCTCATCGTGGGGTTGGCCGCAGTGGACACACGTCTTGCAGTCCATACACTGCCACTGATACAGACGGATGGCGTCGATCATCTCGTCCGTGAACTCCAGACACCGCGGATGACCGCTGTTCTCGCAGTCCGAACAGTGCAGCAGCTGTTCCTCCGGCCGACTGCCGCCCTTACAGACTTTGCACACGGCGTTCGGCCTCGAGATGACCGGCACGGGTGCCGTCGACACCAATGGCTTCGGCTGTTGGCGCTCGAGCTGTGGTGGACTGCAGTCGTCGCTGTCGGACGAGTCGTCGCCCTCGACATTGTCTCCGTCGGCGCCATTGGCCGGACGACTGCCACAACTGCACGAACTCTCGTCGTCCGACAGGCCGTTGTCGGAGCCGACGTCTGAGTCGGAAGCGGTCGCGTCGGCCGACGACTGAAGAACGGGCGGCAAATTGGAGGCGTCGCTGATCGGGCCGTACAACACGGTGTTCAGCGGGAAGTACTTGAGCTCTTCGGACGTGTACTTCGGGTACCAGTCCTGGTAGTGGTTGTGGAAGAGGGCGATGGGATAGCGGCCAATACGCGGCCGACGACTGCGCCTCCGGAGCGACTTGTTGTGGAGGCCGAGACCCAGAGGATGGTTAATGGTATACGTCTGCAGATCTATGCAGAGGCGCCGGTCTTCGCGTCGCTCTTGATTTAGTTGACGATTATATTCAGTCACAGACTTCATGGCCTTCTTCAGCGCGTCCGCCATCTTTGTTGTTGTCCTCAATTGTGCCACAAATGATGTCCGGAAATAAAGTATGTTTTTGTGTTTGCATTGAATTAAGTTTTTAAATGCTTTTCTGTAAAATATTTGCTTTTATTTCGTTTATTAATTAATTGATTAACAAATTGTTGGCAGAAATTGGTTTATAAGATAGAGAGTTCACAACATAGACGTTATTTTAACAGTAAGTCTATGGGATATTTGTTTGAATTTTGAGATTTTCTTCATAACATAGAGGAGTTCATAGCAGAGAAGTTTAACTGTACTGTTGTATGTGTGAATGCTGTACAGACAACACACGGTTAAATGTACACATGTGTTATTGTTTGTGGCTATACTAATTAATTAAATAGTGAATTAATTATGTTGTTTCAATAAATATTGACCATATGTTCACATAATTGGATGCAATTCTTGTAATTTGTATTTTAATAATTTAGTTCACTTTGGTTTACAATAACGAGTTGTACACTAAAGCCGTGAATAGTGTGTACTGTATTTGATGTAATGTTTTGTTTGTTTTGTATTAATGTTTGAATTGTTTCGTCAAATGAGTTGTGTTTTGGTTTTGCTGTGAAATCCATAACTGGTTTCACAATAATTGTGATCACAATTAGAGGCCAAACCGCCGAAGAATATCAAAACACAATGAATATCAATGCCCTAAACGATGACTGTCTGTCCACTATCTTCTCGTACATACCATTGAAGCAACTGATTCTCGGCCGAAGAGTTTGCACGCATTGGCGACAAACCATCGGTGAGTCTTTGGATATAATCATGTCTTTGGCTGTGTTTTAACCATCGATTGTATTGACAGACAATTACTTGACAAATGAGAGACATTTGGTGTACAATCAGTCGATAAATGGGACCAAAAGAGACCAATACTTCTACAAATACAAAGACAATGTGGAAGCGCTGCTCGATTTGAATCAATTTGAGTGTTGCGTCCAATTGATGCCCAAACTCACGGCACTCACACTCAGAGGTCTGTTCCCATCAGTTCCCACAATATATGCCAATCAACTGATCCCAACATATATCACACCCATAGGTATCAAAGCCAACGACGCTATGTTACCGATTATGGCCACGAATTGCCCGAATATCACACGACTGCACGTACTGTCGGGCGAAGAGTCGCTAACGTTTGTGGGCTTCAAGTACTTGTGCCGCAAGTATCCACTGTTGACACACTTGGATCTGCCCAACTGTCAACTCGACGACGACCTCATCCACATCATCGCCACCAGTCTTCACGAGTTGACACACTTTAACTTCGCCACCGACCGGAACCGAGCCGTACGTAACTACCGGTTGTCTCGTTTCACGGGTCAGACGCTGAGGCATATCGCCCCTCGAATCCGGTCGCTGATGATCGGCGAGAGTATGTATTGGGACGAACAGCTGATCCAGTCGTTGATGACTTCGGCCGTCCGGCACACAGTGACCACTTTGCAGATACATTTGATTAAACTGAAGAGTTTGCGCGCCATTTGCGACGGTATGCCACAACTCAGAGAGTTTTACTGCAGTTTCAATGGCGGCGATATCAACACTCACGAGAACAATGTGGGCTGTGTTCGCCACTTGCATCAGCTCAAGAATCTGGAAGCGCTGGAACTGATCGATGACGGCCGCCATCATTGCGGTATCAACGGCTGTCACAGCGTATACACGTTGAGTACACTAATGGAGGCCGTGAATGGTATGTCGCGGCTCCGGGTGTTGAGACTCATCGACTTCGACAACTGGCACTCACAGAAGCCAAACATCGACCCATTACTCGCCGAACTCAAGAGGTTTTGCCCCCATTTAGTGGAGTTCGCGATCAGCGCCGGACTCTTCCAACTGAAGACCGAGAGCTATGGTCTGATTGGTCTGCTGGACGTCCCGACGCTCACCATTCAGGGCGACAGTAGTCTACAAGTGGCGGATCCGCCGTACAGTAGTAAACATAACTATCTGACCAATGAGGTGGTCGTAGATCTACTGAAGGCCACAAAGAGCTTACGGCGCCTCAAAGTGGAGAACAGCCAACAGATAGACGAAGAGGCGATCAACGGGTGTCTGGAAGTGTCGGCGGCGCGAAGTCGCCGACAAATTGAACTCATCTTTTGCAATATTAGACTCAATAGTGTTTCGCAAATAACAACAAAATTACCCGAAAATGTGTCACTTGTGGTGAACAAAGACGAAGAAGTGATCGATTTGGATGACTATACAGACGGTTCGTCCTCTTCGTTCGATACTTCGGACAGCGATTCCATACACTTGTTCTCCGACGACGACGACTTCGATGGCGATATTTAGTAAAGGTTTTAATTGTTTGTCTGTTTTTTGAAATTATATTTGGTTTTTATTGTATATATTTTTTTGGAATAAATATTATCTTAATTAGCGTTAATTTATTTAATTCTCGGAAAATAAGTTAATTTTGTTTAATAATTAGAAAATAACTGTTTAATTAATTTAATCGTTTGGACTGTCGAGGCGTGTAATCTCTCATCTGAATCAGTGGTCAATCACTGGAACTGTCATCGTCTTCGTAGGGTTCGTCTTCCAAGTCCTGCATCGGAAAGCGTAGAATAGCGGCCACTCCTGTCAATTGATCCAATTCTGGGGCCAAACAAACAAATTGATCATTAAGTGGTAATTGAGTGACAATTGAGACGGTTTTCAATGGCCTTACGTTCGCCCGAAACGTGTAAACTGGAGAAGAGTCTCACTTCGCCGCCGTTCTCGCGGACGCTGTCCACTAACCGCACATAACGCCTCCGGTCGTCAGGCTTTGGGCTCCTGTTTTATTGGGCGACCAATCAATCAATCAATCAATTCATACATTAATTCTTTGCAATCAATTATAATACCGGAACAGCTTATCGGAGATGAGTAGCAAATCAATGGCTTGACATTCATTGGCCTTTTCGACGTGATTTATGCCGTAAAACGCTTTCGCGGGTTCTGTTTGAAGCATTGTGTAGAAAGATTGCAAAGCCTTCACTTCTGAGGCCGCCTTCGTGTCCGCCAGACGTGACTGTAAGAGCGGATCCGCCAATACTTCTGTTTAGATACAAATGACACGTATTATAACATCAGTTAACAGCCAATCATTTAAACAATTATTAAACACACCTTTGAGTGAGTGTTTGAAACCAGAGGACGCGTGACATAAGACAAACTTTGCTTTGTTTTCTGTGATCTGTTTGATGTCCATTTTGACCGCCTGTTGACACATATAGTCGTAGAACTGGTCCTTAACAAAGCCCGGACTCGCCAATAGTACACACTTTATAACTGCATTCAAAAAGCATTCACATAAACATCACATTTAAGAACAGCTGAAGACAATGAACTGAACTCACCGTCAAAGTTCATGTGTCGAACAATGGCGGCGATAACGGTGTCGAAGAACTTCTGCATCGCCTTCTCGTGTTGAGAGCAAAAGCCTTTGCGCTTACGAGGAATGTTGACGTCGAGCTTAGCCCTAACCAAAGTCATACTACTGGTGACCAAACACACGTGCGCTATGCCCTCGTTCATGACCACTGCGCCCAAGTCGGCACTCTGGGTGGGATCGCAGGCCAGATCCAGCCGTTCCAACGCCACGCTATCCCAGTGAGCTTTGGTGAGCGTACACTTGCGGTTCTGGTCGATGTCCAGCGTGTGGTACTGACCCATCTTCACGTACTGGTTCTCTGTCACGTTCTTGCCCTTCACGCGCAACATCAGCCCCTGCGTGTCGTACTCTATGGTCTCCACCGATATCGTGATCGTGATCTTCACCCGATTCGAGGCAGTGGTTCCGGTGGCCGACTCCACAGTCACTTTGCGGAATGTTGTCGCCCGAAGATAGTCACCCTCTCGGATCAGATTATAGAGATGCCACATGTCCTCCGTGTCGTCCGGGATGAGCGTTACCCGCCTGTTGTGTCCATACAATTAGTCAATTAAATCAAATCCATTGTAATTAACACATGATTAGAGTTTTAATCAGAGTTTTCAACATTTATTTTTAAAAATGATATACTTTTCAAAGTTGTTAAAAATCGCATAAATTCAGTCAATTGGTGTTTATAATAATTATCTTTATATAATTTTGATCTTTTATAATAAATCAACAAAACTCGTGGTTAAACATCGATATAAATTTAAACAATAGTTAAAATTAATGAAATTAATGAATGATAAGTACAAATATATATGAATTACATTATAATTTATATTATTATAGATTTTTATATATAAAATATCCGTTCATTTGGGGAATAAATTACTGAATGACTGGTTCTTGTAATCGGGTTTTGGGTGTAAAAACTCGATTAGTTTTGGGGACAAAAACAAGTGATAAAGTCATCGATAATGAGTGGAAATCAAAGAGTGATAACTCAGGACCAGTTCTTGTAGACGATGGCAACGCCCGCATAACTCCTGCCTTTCGACATATTCAGCGGTAAAAGAGACCACGAATTGAATTTAGGATTATAGACCTCAACGGAGGCCAAATTGCTCTGTCCGTCGTCACCGCCGATCACATACAAGAGGCCGTCTTTGGCCACAACGCCGGCGTTACGGCGCGCTATAATCATATCAGAGCACTGATACCAACTGTTGGTCTTCGGGTCGTAACACTCGACACTCTTACGTACGGCCGGCCCGTCGTGACCGCCAATTGCATAGAGACGGCCGTCCAGTACGCCAACGCCCGCACCGCTACGGCGTTGAGACATTTCGGTAATCAATGTCCACGCGTTGGACACAGGATTGTAAAACTCGACGGACGACAGACACTGACGACTGGCGCCGTCATAACCGCCCACAGCGTAGAGGCCGTCGTTCAGAGTGGCCACACCTACCGACGAGCGGCGCGTAGACATCGGGCAAATGAATTGCCACGTTTTGGTCAACGGATTGAACACCTCTGCCGACTGCAAACCGATGGACCCGTCAAAGCCTCCGACCGCGTAAATCATGTCGTGAAGGACACCGACGCCTAGTGTGGACCGTCGGGCCTCCATCGACGTGCAGGAGTTCCACATATTGGACTTGGGATCGAAATAGTCAACAGTTCCCACCCGTAAAGAGCCATTAAAACCGCCGATTGCATAGACAATGCCGTTCAGGACTGCGAGACCAGCGCGGCATCGATTGCTCGGCAAATTGCAGCCGAGGTCTGCCCACTGGTCGGTATCAAAGTTATAGTACTCGCAACTGCTGATGGCTTTGGGCGCCTGACCGCCCACAACGATCATACACTTGGGCCGACCCAACGGCGTGCGGACGCGGAAGCGCTCGTTGTTGGCCACCATTGCGGTCGTGAGCCGACCCTTACAAAGATGGTATTTCATGGCTTCGATGAGCAGGTCTTTACACGTGGCGTCGCTTTTGATGAGCGGATACTCGTCTTCGATGCGGACGAGACTCTCTTGACTGAAACGCGGGAAACGGATGTGTTGTATGAGTGACGACAAGAACTTCATGCGATCGCAGCGGTCGTAGAGAATCCACGCCATGAGTGCGTTGAGAACCACTTGTTCGCCGCCATCGCCGGTGTCCACCAAATCGGATGATATGATCTGTGAGACGCGTTCGGCCGTCAATTGCATGAACTCTTCCGATTGGGTGGCAATGAGTCGGAAGTTATTGTAGATGTAATTGATAGCGAACTCCTGGAGCTCGTGACAGCCCAACAGTTCCGCGAAGCCGTACACTCCCAACGCGTTCTCCGGATGTAATTGCGATTCAATGAATTGGCCACAAATGGCCACAATGTGACAGCAGTCCAGCATTTTGGCCGCACTCATCAGCTGCTGGACATTGTCTGCAGTGGTGGCCACTGAACCCGTATAACACCATTTGACGATCTCATGCAGGGCTCGGCCCTCAATGTTCTTGATGTGGATCTCGTAGAGACCGCTCTCCACATACTGTCCGCCATTAGTGCCCACAAACATGGCGTTGAAGTACTGCAGAGTGGAGGCCAACACAACCCGATGGGCGACCACTCGCTGGTTGTCGTCCGTCACGAGTGAGACATCGCATAAGTGGGGTCTCATTGAGTACATCGCCGACAGACACCACTCCGCCCTCCACTCGGCCACCGATGCCATCGCCGCTCACAACCGATCGGATCAGTTGCCGATCACTCAAGAGTTTTGCTTAGGAGTCAATCACTTTGTATTGTTGTACACGAAAGCAACCATTGATTGATGTATTGATGCAATCAATACAACTTGTGTTGCATTGAGTGCCACATGAATGCCATTTTAGGCAATCATTAGATACTGTTATCACAAACTGTTGTCCCGTTTATAACGTTATTTGCATTCAATTTAACGCATTTTAACACTCATTTGCATTCAATGTTTGCCTTTTGTCCACAAAATAGCCGTTAATTTGGTTTAAATCACAAATAAATTGCGATAAAAAAAATAAAACAAAACTCTGTTTACAAATAAAGTCGTAATAGTTTTTGTGACGAGACGTACGCATAGTGTGTGACGCTTAGAGGGGGTGTGTGTTGTGTCCGACCATTGGGTCTGTATATTAATAGTGAGTTTTCAATCGACAACAATATCTTAGGGGCAAAAGGGGTACTAAAATAGTGGCATATTTCACGCGTACACACACTGTGTGTGACCCACACATGCATTACGTCAACGCAACAAAACATATGATTGTTGTCTCAAATAAGTGTCAAAAACAATAAAATTAATGACTTTTCACGCGATTTATAATCACTTTTTGCCAACAATTAGATCTCAAACCATATGTTTAGTCATAAATAGCATTAAAAACTAATATAAGGCTTAAATAGAGGCAAAACTCATGCATTTACTGAGCCATCAATTATATGGCCGGACATATGTAATGCAACATTTGACCAAGGTGACTCATTTGGGATCACCATGCTCAATTTGTATAGAAATATAGGCATTTAAATTACATGATAAATGTATGAAAACCCTGTTATAACACCAATTGACTGATTTGTATTCAAGCGTAACGTTGTTTACGAATGCGAATCATTATAATTGACGTTTTGCTGGCATTTGTTTCGCAATTTTGCGGTCAAAATAAGCGGTAAATGTATGGCCAGTGTATGGCCTGTAATGACTCACCCGTCGCCCTCTTTATAGTTGATATATTTGTTGACGAGTTTCATGTCGTGTCAGTTGTGCTGTCGTTGTGTTCACTAATTAATCACAAATCAGACATCAATTAATTGTTTGACAATAGGTTTACGACTGGTTTGGTATGCATTTCATAACATGTCTACACGTTTTGAATGCATTTTCAACACAACCTTCACTTTTCATTGCCTGGAATTTAGGGATCGTTTAGTCATTGCATTAGTTTTGCGCCTAATTTTAGTTTTGCATTTTGTAACGCGTTTACAATTAATTACTTTTAATTACATCTAATTAACTGGTTGCGTAAAAGGGCCATGGTGCAATTTATGTTAATTAAAAGCTTTAATTAATTAAAATTAATTATCAGTGAATTTAAAATAGGTGTCAAAAGTGGGGGTCATTTGTATTGATTGCGTGTGTATTACGTAATGCCTATGCGTTTGACAATCGTTTCACACAAAAGCACAAGTTTTGATAGCATTTGTGTTATATCTTTGAATTGCATTTGATTTGATCGGTGATCGACAGACACTCACTCTTCGCACTCACACTCTCTTCGCCAGTAAATTGTGCGCAAAAATGGGCGTAAAGTTTGGTCACAAATGTGCAGCAACTCTGCAGACGGCAACCATCGGGAGTCCGATCGGCAAAATAGTGGTCACCGTTTGCGCCGACGGTTTGCATCGATTGACCACCGCTTGTGAGCAGCCGTTTGCGGCCAACACTGACGTCAAAGTAGTCCTCTTAGAGGACTCGCCCGACGCCGTCAACAGCGCACACTTCGCCGCTTGTGTCCAGTGGTTGGCCGACTATTTTGGTGGCCGTAAGCAAACAGTGGCCGACAATACCGTTCAGTTTTGTCCATCAGTTTCCAATTGTAAGCACTAGTTGTTTGACTGTCCGCTTGTCATACCATTAACTCTCTCTCTCTCTCTCTCTCTGTCTCTCTCTCTCTCTCGTGGATTCTTTAGCCGAGTTTTACCGCAAAGTGTGGTCAACACTGAAGGATGAGATCAGATTCGGTCAAACGACGAGTTACGGGGAGTTGGCGTCGATGGCGGGTAACCCGCGTGCGAGCCGTGCGGTGGGCTCAGCGATGCGCTCCAATCCCTTCCTATTAACCCGATGGGCGACCACTCGCTGGTTGTCGTCCGTCACGAGTGAGACATCGCATAAGTGGGGTCTCATTGAGTACATCGCCGACAGACACCACTCCGCCCTCCACTCGGCCACCGATGCCATCGCCGGTCACAACCGATCGGATCAGTTGCCGATCGCAAGAGTGTTTGCTTAGGAGTCAATCACTTGTGTTGTTGTACACGAAAGCAACCATTGATTGATGCAATCAATACAACTTGTGTTGCATTGAGTGCCACATGAATGCCATTTTAGGCGATCATTAGATACTGTTATCACAAACTGTTGTCCCGTTTATACCGTTATTTGCATTCAATTTAACGCATTTCAACACTAATTGTTTGCATTCAATGTTTGGCATTTGTCCGCAAAATAGCCGTTAATTTGGTTTAAATCACAAATAATTTGCGACAAAAAAAACAAAATATTTTTTACACTCTGTTTACAAATAAAGTCGTAATAGTTTTTGTGACGAGACGTTCGCATAGTGTGTGACGCTTAGAGGGGGTGTGTATTGTGTCCGACCATTGGGTCTGTATATTAATAGTGAGTTTTCAATGGACAACAATATCTTAGGGGCAAAAGGGGTACTAAAATAGTGGCATATTTCACGCGTACACACACTGTGTGTGAGCCACACATGCATTACGTCAACGCAACAAAACATATGATTGTTGTCTCAAATAAGTGTCAAAAACAATGAAATTAATGACTTTTCACGCGATTTATAATCACTTTTTTGCCATCAATTAGATCTCAAACCATATGTTTAATCATAAATAGCATTAAAAACTAATATAAGGCTTAAATAGAGGCAAAACTCATGCATATACTCAGCCATCAATTATATGGCCGGACATATGTAATGCAACATTTGACCAAGGTGACTCATTTGGGATCACCATGCTCAATTTGTATAGAATATATAAGCATTGATAGTACAAAATAAATGAATTAAAACCCCGTTATAACACACCAATTGACTGATTTATATAAAGCGTAACGTTGTTTACGAATGCGAATCATTATAATTGACGTTTTGCTGGCATTTGTTTCGCAATTTTGCGGTCAAAATAAGCGGCAAATGTATGGCCAGTGTATGGCCTGTAATGACTCACCCGTCGCCCTCTTTATAGTTGATATATTTGTTGACGAGTTTCATGTCGTGTCAGTTGTGCTGTCGTTGTGTTCACTAATTAATCACAAATCAGACATCAATTAATTGTTTGACAATAGGTTTACGACTCGTTTGGTATGCATTTCATAACATGTCTATTGAATACACGTTTTGAATGCATTTTCAACACCAGAGACGCCGGTTGCTATGGAGACTGTGCGTTAAACAATTGCTAGTCTTGTATCCAGATTAGTCTTGTTAATCGTGTCACGTTCACGCGTGAATCACTTACTATGACAAATATGGTAATAATAATTATAAAATATGGTAATAATTATCATTCGAAACTAGGTAATGGCCAAAATTGTGAGTTTTAAGATATTCAGGGTTATGACCAAACTTTAACAGTTAATTTAGTTAAATACAAATGATTTAACTTAAAAACAGTTATACAATGTAAAGAATGTTTTACATAATGTATTAAATGAGTGAAACTGATTTATGGTAACATTCTATATGATTTTAAGCCTATTTTGGCAAATTATAAGTAACTATTTGAGTAACTATTTGGGTTGTTTTTCATACCTATTATAGTGACAATTAGGGGTTTTATACTTGCCTAAAACGCAATTCCCTGATTATAACTCTATATATTCCTATTCAAATCAATATACATTTAATTTTTCATTTGATATGCGTAAACTGTAATGTATTGTCTATGGGAGCATAGAGGCAAAGCCTAACTTTTGCGTGATTTTGCGTGCTCCTGGTCTATGGCTATACTTTAATATGGGTAATGCTAAGTCTATGGACAATATTAAGTCTATGACAGGAATAACATGGGTAATGCTAAATCTATGGCATAGGGATAACATAGATAATACTAATCTTATGGAACTAATGCTAATCCTATGGACAATGTTAAGCCTATGGAACTAATGCTAATCCTATAGACAATGTTAAGTGTACAGACTGTCCACGATATATACCCTATTTTATGGCATTTACATTATACATAATTTTGCCATATTGTTAAGTATTTTGTCTACCAATAACTAGTAGAATTTAAAGGTAAATAATACACGTTTAATTTGGTATGCCTTAAATAATTGTGGATTAACCCTAAGTTTACCAGGAACAATTTTATTGTTAAAATATCAGATTCTAAATATTATTGATTTTGTGACCTAGTCTAATTCTGGATATAGTAGTTGTAGATGGTTAATATTAATTTGCTAGAATAATCATTATGTGCGATTTGTTAATTTAACATAATATTTGATTTATCGTGAGTATACTTTCCTTGGTGATTTTATTAAGTAATTAGTCTTTTTCATAGGATTTCATTGAATAATTCACAAAAATGTAAATATTTTGAAAGAATTTAAATATTGCCGTTGATATTTTAGGGATTTCAGGGAAGTTAATTATTGAGTATCAGAATTTAAAGTGTAGCTTTTACTTATTTGAAAACATCCAAGTTTATTAAAATCGGTTTACAGATGCCTGATCTACACCTGATTAAGATATTGTAGTCATACAATGGTTTTCTATGGAAAAACACAGTAGGGACATATATCGTGGACAGTCTGTATGAGACTAATGCTTAATTTTGGTATAACGTTGGCATAGTGAGTGATTCACGCGTGAACGTGACACGATTAACAAGACTAATCTGGATACAAGACTAGCAATTGTTTAACGCACAGTCTCCATAGCAACC